CCCCCCCAGCCGGCCTCGCTGCCTCCTGCCCCGGCCGGACCCTCCGCAGCCCCCGTGCCCCCGGCAGCCCCGGGCCGTGAATTATTCACTCCCTCGCCGACCAAATGTAATCGCCGAGCTTAAACTATAAATAAATAAATATAGGTATAAATATAACATCCCGCGGCCCCCGCCCCCGGCAGCCTCTCCGGGAGGAAGATGAATAACTCAAGCGCCTCCGTAGTGCATGGCGCCCTGCGCGGGGAGCGGGCTGGGCCGGGCGGTGGATCGCCCTGAATAATTCACGGCGGCTCCTGAATTGCGCATCGCGCAGCCCGGGCCTTCCCTCTCGGCGACGCCCCCCCCCCGCGTGGCCCCCGGCGCCCCGACGGGGGGGGGGCTGTCCGGGGTGCCCGGAACGGCCGGACGCTGGGCATGAAGGCCCGGCTGTGTGACCCTGGGCGGTGGCCGCCCTCTCTGGGCCCCCGCCGGCCCCTCCGCTAACGGGCTCTCGGTCTCTCTCCTCCTCGCAGCCTACTCTCCGCCCGGCACGTCCCCTGCAAACCGTTCCTTTGTGGGATTAGGACCAAGGGATCCGGCGGGCAGTTATCAGGCACAGGTAGGGGCCGAGAGGCCGGCTGGCGGGGGGCGGGAGGGGCAGGGCAGAGGGGCCGCCTGCTGCGGGGGCCCGGCCACCCCACCAGCCGCACCCCCGGCACGGTGGCCGCTCAGCGGGGCAGGAGGCCAGCCTCCCGTCCCTTCCAGGGCCTCGAGCCCACGCCCGGGGATGTGGCAGGGCCCCCACCCTGCGTGCCACTCCCCGCCGGGAGACGCTCGTGGCAGAGCTGCTGCGAGGCTGGGGGTGTCTCCTCCACGGGCCCATCAGACAGACGGGAACACTGAGGCCCGCAGAGGCGAGGAGTGCACCCAGGATCACACAGCACGTCGGCCCCAGCCTTCAACCCCCCAGCCTTCGTCCCCTCCATGCCGCCGGCCGGAGGCACCCCAGGAGAGGAGGGCAGGGGGTGGCAGAGGACTCCAGGAGGTGGGGACAGGTGGGGAAACTGAGGCAGCCCGCGGCAGGGGTGGGGCCTCTCTGTAGAGCATGTGCGCCCCCAGCCCGGGCTGCAGCCTGTGAGGTGGGGAGCGGGCAGTGGAGGCAGAATTGGTCTTGCTGCAGCTGAGTGCGCCAGGGTGTGGGAGGGAGGCAGGCCTAGGACGAGGAGGCTCAGAGAGGGGGAGCGAGTTGCCTGAGGCTGCACAGCAGTGGAGGGCAGAGCCCCGATGGGTCCAGAACTGAGACCCATGCCTCCCAGTGGCCTCAGCTCCTCTGCCCGTGTGTCCCTGGCACCCACCTCGGGTCAGGGTCCATATCTGTGCCATGTGCCGGCCAGGAGGGTGTTGGCAGACGGTGTCCACAGGTGGTGGGTGGACCCCCGAGACGCCCCCCCTCCCGTCCCTGGCAAGGGCAGCGCCAGCCGCCGCGGGTCCTCCGAGGCCCAAATGCACAGAGAAACCAGCTCAGGGCTCCCCGGGGTCTCTGAATAGCCAGAACCACAGAGCATGGGGGTTTGTGGGGTCCCCGGGGGTCACGTTCGGACTCTCCCATCACTGTGGGAGGGTCCCCTGCAGCAGAGTCCACGGGAAGGGTGTGGGGAGGAGGTGGAGAGATGGCCACATCCCCCATCCTCGGGTGAGGCCGGAATCAGCCACGCTGACCAGGCCCAAGGAACCTCCCGCCACAGCCTGGCTCCCTGGGGACCCTGCGATGCTGGCCTGGTTGCTGCTGGCGGCTCAGGGGGGCCAGAGCGTGTGGGGAGGACCCGGCCGTCCCCTCCCTTCCTGCTCAGGCCTCAGCAGGGGTGCTGGGGTCAGGAGACCAGGGCTAAAGCAGGCCCTGCTTTACCCACTCTGAACCTCGGTCTCTTCTTCTGGCCTTGGGCACCTCCCAGGGAGTCTTTGAAAGGCCTGGAGCATTAGGGGACCTGTTTCATGCAGAAAGGGCACCGAAAGGCGAAGGCTGCCCCACACACCCTCGTGTGCCCCGAATTTTAAGCATCCTGCCTTTCAGAGCCCCAGGCGAGATCCAGATACAGGGGCATGTGGTCAGGGTCACCCAGAGAGCTGGGGGGGCCCAGGACTCCCTGCTTTCCCATGACCATGGTCTGTTAACTCCTGGCGTGGACGCCCCTGCCCCCCCCCACCCCCGAGCCTTCCTCTCCCGCCCCCACCCCACATCCCTCCCCAAGGGAGACTGGGAACGTCCTAATTGCTTCAGAAACCAAAGCTGATAAAAACGGCACGGAGAAGGCCCTGCTCAGCCTCCCTTCCCCCTGCACCCATCTCCTTCATTACCAGCCTCTGCATGGGGGGACCCCCGAGCGGTGGCCTGGAAGGGAAGGGAAACTGAGGCAGGCAAGGGCGGCACCTGTGCTTCTACATGTTCTCGTCGCCCCCTCGACCAGCGGCCCACTGGGGACCCAGAGAGGGTGGGATGGGGCTGGCGTGGAGGAACTGGGGTGGGGGGCATCGGGGGGAAGCCCCGTGGCGAAGGCTGGCCTGGTAGAGGATGAGGGTGTCCAGGCAGGGGGTTCGGCCCTGACCGAGGCTGGGAGTGGCGGAGAAACAGCTGGAATGTTGAAGATCTCAAACGTGGGCATTGTTCCGGGGACCATGGGGAGCCACGGAGGGGTTTAGAGTGGGGGGGGCAGCCAGGTCTGGGAATTGGAAAGAACTTTCTGGGGCTGGTGTTGGGGGTGCAGGGAAGGGAGGTGACAGATTGGTGAGAGACTCCCAGGAGCGTGGGTTGGGGGGAGGCGAGGCTCCCAGTCTGGGTGAGCAGGGAGGGCAGGTCTCGGAGAGGACCCCGCCGGACCATGGGTCCTTGGACTGAAGGCATCCCAGTCCCCGGGTGGGATCAGGCACCCCACACCCCGCAGACCCTGAAGGGAGGGAAGTGGGGAGGAGGAGCCCGGAGACCCTGCTCCCCCCTCGCAGGGCCCCTGCGCAGAGGGCTCAGAGCTCGAGGCCTCTGCTTTCTGGCCCAGTCAGCACTTCTGCCTCCGCCTGCCTTCGTTATTCCTGGCGGGTTCGCTTTCCTCTGCCCCTCCTCCAGCCCGCAGTGGCTTCTTTCCCTCCACACGCGCCCTTCAGTCTCCTGCCCACCCCCCCAGTCAGTGCTCCTTGTCTGATCAATATCCTCTCCCCTGATCAATATCCTGTGCCCTGATCAATATCCCCTCCCCTGATCAGCATCCCCTCTCCTGATCAATATCCTCTCCCCTGATCAGTGTCCCCTCTCCTGATCAATATTCTCTCCCCTGATCAATATCCCCTCCCCCAATCGGTGCCCCTCCCCTGATCAGTATCCCCTCCTCTGATCAGTATCCCCTCTCCTGATAAATATTCTCTCCCCTGATCAATATCCCCTCCCCGAATCGGTGCCCCTCCCCTGATCAGTATCCTCCCCCCCC